TTTATTATTCTTGTATATAATTAAAGAAGGCACCCTGAGAACTTATCTTTTTATTTTTGCATACTTTTTCTTCTGCAGTATAACATAGATACAATTAAGTGCACAAATAATGAATTTCTGCTAAGTGCACTTTTGTGTAATCACTTCTGAGATCAAGATATAGAACATTTCCAAGCACCCAAAAGCCTTGAAGATACATGTGCCACACAACAAAATGTTTACTCTCTGACTTTATCATCTTAGATTACTTTTGCAGTTCTTTTGCTGTATACAAATTGAATCAACCAGTTTTAGAATAGGCAAAATTCTAAGAGGGTCCCACGCTTCCTGCCCCCTGGTGTGTTTGCCCTGTATAATCTTACCCCCTTCACTATAATGGGAATGTGAATATGATGGATTTCCCTGAGGTGATTAAGTAACAGTATTTTGCTAATGTACTTTAGTCCTAAACCAATAGAAAGCCATGTTCTTCCTGGCCTTGAAGAAGTAAATTGTGTGGCACATGATGGATTATTAACACATTTTCTAGCCCTTCTCATCTCTCCAGTAGATGAAGGGTCAGGTGGGAAAGTTCCAAACTTATAATCACAGCAGTAACCAGCCCCCATCCAGGAATCCACCAAGAGTCATGTTATTAGATCAGAAGATACGCCTGCCACCCAGGAAAGTTTTAGAAGATCTGTATCAGGAAATAAGACTAAAGTTCAAATATTAATGGGAGCAGGTGACAGGGGCCAATACATACATTTCATATTATTTCATATCTTACATTAAACAGTCAGTTATCTCTTAAGATAGTTAAAAAACATGAAAAAAATTATATTTACCATTTCTGGAGTACTTCATTCTATCTGGTTTATTCCTTTGGCTATAGAACTTCTTTTAACATTTTATGTATATATCGGTTAATGACAAATATCATAGCTTTTTTGTTTCCTTTTAAAAATCTTTATTTTTGCTTCATTTTGAAGGAATCATTTTACTGGATATAGAATTATAAATTGACAGATTATTTTTCTTTCAACATTTTTATGATGTTCCATTAGCTCTTAGCTTATTTAGTTTCTAGCATGTCAATGAGAATCTTTATCTTTGTTTCTCTACATTCAGTTACCATTTTTCTTTGTATGCTTTCAAGATTTTATCTATATATCCTTTTGGGGATTTTATTATCTGAGCCTTGTTATGATTTTCTCTGTGTTTACCCTACTTGTGGCTTGTTACATTTCTCAGAACCGTGGTTTTAAAATTTCACTAAATTTGGAGGATTTTCAGCAATAATACATCAACTTTTTGTGCTTCTGTCTCTCTCTGTCTCCTTCTGGCACTAGTCACATATATTTTAGAACACTTGATATTGTCCCACAGGTCACTGAGGTTCTATTCATTTTTTGGTCTTTTTTTCTTTGTGTTTCATTTTGTGTAGTTTTATTGCTATTTTTCCCTTTCCCTGAATATTTTCCTCTGTAGTATTTAATCTGACCCACTTCACCAGTGAAATTTTCATTTCAGGTTTTGTATTTTGTATTTTTAATCTATGTAGGTTATATTTGGTTCTTTTTTTCTATCTTTTACATCTGCCCTCATTCTGTTCATGTTTTCTTTTTAAATTGAGCACAGTTACAATAGCTATTTTAAAATCCTTGTCTTAATTCCATCACTTTTGTCATTTTTGACCCTGCTTTTATTGATTGATTTTTCTCTTGATTATAAAATTCATTATCCTACTCTTTTACATATCCAGTAACTGCTTACTGGCTGCTACATTTTGTAAATATTATGTCATAGGGTATCTAGATTTGCTTTCTTCATAAAAGAATGTTAAATAAGCAGTAAAGAATATTGGCAGGCCGTTAATGTGCAGATCTTTTTGTTTTTTCCAAGACTTGTTTTTAAGCTAATTTATCCTATTACTCCTCTGTGATCTATAATCTCCCAGCAACTATTATCCAACCTCATGCATTTCTCTGTGCATCTATAGTTTTTCTAATTAGCTCCCTTCTTTCCAATACTTCCCCTGACACATTCCAACTACCTCAGTCCTCTCAGTCCTCTGTGAACTCTTGTATTTTTCAATCAATAAATCTGCTATTCTGTTTAGGTTATTCTTACCTGCACTGTGATTTGGAAGGTGCCTCTAGGCAGAAAGCTTCTGTGATAGTAGGACTTTACTTCATTTGCTTCTGCTCTCATCTGTGTCACAGTTCTATACTGCCTGTTGCCCAGTGTCTGGAAATATCTGCTTCATATATTTTGTCCAGACTTCTTGTGCTTTGTGGTGGGAGATCAATCCCAGAATCAGTAACTCCATTATAGCCAGAGTGGAACAATTCAGCCAAATTTTCCAAACTTTGCAAATTAAAAGCAAACTCCTAGAATGAATGTTTCTTTTTTTTTTTTTAAATTTTTTTTAATAGAGGCATGTTTTATTTATTTATTTATTTGTTTGTTTGTTTTGTTTATACATACACTGGGTACAGTCAGAAGTGTCGGAGGGTGAGAGAATTCACCAGAGCCAGAGCAGGGAGCAGAGCAGGCAGAAGGACCGAAATACACTGCTGAGGGGAGCAGCGGGCGGCAGGAGAGGTCTGCGCGCCATGTGGGACCCTCCTCCTCCGGTGGCCGGGGAGCAGCAGGGGATCGAACCTGCACCCGCATAGCTTCGCAACCCAGCGCTCAACCGCTGCGCCACCGGGGAGGCCCCTAGAATGAATGTTTCTATGATGGAAAAGAGTGAAAGGGAAGAGATTCAGGGACAACTATATAACATTATGTAACTTTGCCAGAAGTTTAAGGAATGTATAATATTTAGAAATATTTTCTCCTCGATTTCAAAATGAAATTCAATGGGAATATTGAATTTATTTTGGAGAATTACTGGAAAAAATTTCAACTTTAGGTTATTCTTCTTCCATAAGTTGAAGTTAAATCAGTTTTATAAATACAGGCATCCTCAGCTATTTGATAGTTTGAATTATGCCACTTTTTTTTACAAAAAACCTATATTAGTACCTGTTTTCACTGACCAAAAGAAATCCAAAGAGGACTTCTATTTTTACAACAAAAGCCAAAAAGCAAAAGTAGCATTTAAGGTTTTTTGTAATGAATTGTTACAGAGGCCACCGGCATCCCGAGAAGAGTGGCCCCTCCACGTTACTTCCCTAGGAACTACTTGGTACAGGCTATGTGCTTATGATACCATTTCCGCTTTTACTACATGTTAGTGTTATTTTAGGCTTTATGTATTATTTGGTATGATGTGGTAGGTTATTTTTGGGTCTGGGAATGCTCAAAAATGTTTTTACATAAATTAAGAATAATGGCTTCTTCGCTTTATGCCATTTTGGCTTACAAAAGTTGTCATTTAAAAGGCACACTTTGGATATGGGGGACACGTTGTATTGCAGTATTATTCATTAGGATGAATGATAATAATGAGGTAGTTGCCTGCTGCTGGTGGCAATATTTATTGAAGCACCCACAATAAACTAAGCACCAGAAATTCAGGAAATAAAGTTAGTTCTCCAAGTTTACACACTAAGTGACTACGAAGCGACTGACTTACTCAGTACTCAGTGGTAATTTAGTGGCTGCAACTGGGATACAATCTCAGCTCACTGCTAACAATGACTTTTTCCATTATTATCCTGCTCTCTAGTTCTCTCTTCACCTGAGCTTCCCCATCTGGCAAATTAAAGCGGAAAACAGTTAACTCCCTCCCCAGAGAGCCTGTGTTATTATATAGATGTTTTGCATTATTTTGCTTTGAATAGCAGCATATGTAAATGTGCTCCTGGAGGTGAAAATTACCCTTATTTTTTTTTAAGCTGGCCTCTCCCACCGGGGTGAATAGTTGAAAATTCTGGGGAGGAAAAAGCAGACTGGAGAGGCTGTTAGCCAGCTTGGAGTTGCTTCTCCTCCTTCCTCCCCACCCAACACATATGTCTATTCAGATATAAGCAGCCACAGCAGAGTAAGTAAAGATTACTAGATTCCCTGCCCTGGAGTCCTAGCTTGTTCTGATACTCAGTGTCCAGAGTGGGTTAATCCAGATCTTAATCATTAAGCCTGCATCAGGTTGATGTGTTTGGGCAGGTGTTCTTGCTGAGAAGAATAAAAGCCTCCTGTGGCACCTGGAAGACTTTATCACACATGGTCCCCAGCCAGATCACAGAGATTCTAGTTAACATGGGCACTTTGCTGCCTCCGACCATCTACCTCTTGTTCAGAGGCTGGCATAGCCCTCCTGTTGGGCTCTCCTGTGGGCCCTGCATTGTTGAGCCCTCTCTATCTTAAACTGCCTTTCCTGGCATTTGAATCATCACTTCGATGATGTGATAATATCTGCAAGTTGGGAAAATAAAAGTGGCATTTGTTTAGCCATAATTAATGAAATATTTATGTTGCATGAGACTATGTGATAAAACCTTAGGCTTAGAGTCCTTTTGCTTCTGATTACATTTGGGATTTTTTTTTCTATGACCAGACATTCTGACGCCAGCTCTTTTACACTGAGCAGATGTCATGTAGTAAAAATGGGTGCCAGATGCTGTGAGCCGCAGAAGGGCGATTTGTTTAAGAGCTGGCTCTGACTTTTTTGCATTCAATTACTCTGCAGTACGAACCTTACACAAGCATTTAGGTAACTCAGCTAACTTCAAACATGCATTTTAATAATAGATTTCATCTCTGAATGCGTTCTAAGCTACACACCATATAAATGGTGTTTAAGGAATTAATTGATTTCTGCATAATACCTTTTTTAAAAAATATGAAAAGAGAGCTGCAAAGCTCTTGGCAGGGACCCAGAAATGTAATTAACATGGAAGGCCAAATTTTCAGTTGCCCTTAGGTACTGCCTCCTCATGCTCATGGCAGGTGCAGTGAGGGGCCAGCAGGGAAGAAGGGAATTGGGTAAGCAGGGAGGAGGGAGAGGCAGCTTTGGGGGTGAAGCAAGAAAAGAAGCTAAGAGTTCAGTGAGTTTTCTTTTCCCATTTCAGGTCCCAGGCACATCCCCGTCAGATTGCAGGTGACAGGGACTGACTCTTCAACCTCCTCCTCTTCTGCAGATGAAGAATTTGATCCTCAGCCTAGCTTGCGGTCAAAGGTAACAACACTTGGCAAACCAAAAAGGGCCTTGGCTTGTGGGGGCCGTTTACCATCCAGATTTCAGACCCAATGTGGGCTCCAGCTGTGGTGGTTTCATTAGGAGGATCACTTTTCATTGCATCTGACAGCAACTGCTTTTTTTTTTTTTTTTTTTTTTACCTGGAACACCCCAGGAATTATTTTATTTTTTCACTTTTAGAAGCTTGTCTTTCTCAGAGTCTCAGATTGGGGAGAAAAAAAAAACAGACATATTTACTTGAAACCATTTGGCGACTGCCGTTCCTAAAGTGGGTTTAATATGTGGTCCAACAAGCAAACCATCGAAAAAAATCACAACAAGCAGATGCATATTTCCCAGGGGGGTAGCACAGCTTCATTTAAGAAGCACTAGAGGCAGATTGCATGGAAAATGTTATGTTTATTCTAATCAGAAATATGAAATGAACCATGCATTTGCATCTAGATGTGAGGGTCCCTACCGTGGAAGGGACTAGCTATGTGCTGGCTGGGGAGATGGCAGGCCTCCTCTTTGCTTTACTACCATTAGTATTTCTGGAGAACACTTCCAACCCTTCCTGGACCCATAGAATAAAAAATGTACACACTGTTATATGTCTTTCAATGTATCTGTCACATACACAGAGACATACATTTTTCCACCAAATCTCATCTTTCTTTTCTTTATCCACCAGGGCTTGGGGCATTTTCACTGGGGCTGGGGAACTGAATGGCTGGACCTCAAATGCCTCCCGGTAGAGAGAGAAGCAGCTCACTGCTCTGGCAGTGTTTATTTTTTGGAGCAGCGAGGATCCAAGGAGAAAGGGAGAGAAGCAAGTTTATTTACTTAGACTCAACTTTTCCATATCTGGCATTAGGAGCTTTGGCGTCATCTCAAGTCACTCAGGGGTTCTAGCTCCCCAAGGCCCAGCTTGGAACAAGTCAGGAGGGGGCTGGCACATGGCATGACAGTGTAGGGTGTGTGAGAGAGACAGAGAGAGATGGGGGAGGGAGAGGGAGAAAGGGAAGAAGACAGATCGAGGATGAGCGGAGAATAATATGTATGGATTTCTAATTCCTAACTGTGGGGTGTCTGTAGTTAGTTGGGTGCTCAATATAAATGCATTCTGTTTTGTTCATTTCTGGTGTTCCTTATTGTCCCTCCCAACCCCTTTAGTGAGCCTGAGTTAAATCTGTATTCAAATGAGGCAGAGGCCCCAGCATCAGCCACCCCACACTTGCGGAGAACGAGTATAGTGGTGCAAATACATGGAAATAGCCGGACAGTGCTGTAGGGCAAGACTTGCAAATTGCTCCTTGGCCCCTTCTGGCCCAAAACAGAGGCAGCCATCACTTAAGCTCACAGGGTGAGAGTTTTCTGCTTCTCCGGGCTTCGACATGGCTTGCTGTCATGAAGGGGAAGCTGGCCATGGGGTTACTTCTTTTTTTTTTTAAGATTTATTTATTTTTATACAAGAGCTGGGGTACAGGCCAGAGGCGCGGGAGGGTGAGAGGATTCACAGAGACAGAGCAGGGAGCAGAACAGGCAGACGACAGAAATACACTGCTGAGGGGAGCAGCAGGCGCAACAGGAGAGGTCTGCCGCACCATGTGGGAGTCTCACTGGCCGCCCGGGATTGAACCCGCGCTGCAGAGGCTGTGGAGAGCTTCAAAGCGCAGTGCTCAACCCTCTGTGCCAGCGGGGAGGCCCCATGAGGTTACTTCTTTAGGACTTCCCAAGGCCTCGTGATATAAGAACGAGGGAAATTTTTTTCCATCTGCTTTTGTTGTTGTTTTTTTAATCTCTTCCGGCCCTTACTGGCGTGTCCCCAGCCATGTCACACTGGGCCCAGGTCAGCCCAAATGAACCTTGTGCAGGAACCCAGTGACAGGCTGGATACTCTCTTCCCTCTGTTTTGCCCTCCCTGCAGCCACCTGTCCTCCCCAAGGAATGCTGCATCTGAGAGCTTGGGCGGGTGACTTGTCCTCATCCTGCCAGATCTCTCCCTTTCTCTGTCCTTTCACGTCTTCTTCCTTAGCCTTGAGCCTCTTTCCTTTGCTCTCTGAGTCCTCATCACCATGGAGGCTGTAAGAACAGTGCCTGGTGCTTCTTAAGGCTATCAGAGCATTTGTCCACAAAGCAACCTTCTTTCCTATGTCAGCATCTTTTAATAAGAGGTGGTAAATGACTTTCTTTTCTTTTCTTGGTTCTCTTTTGCTGGCTCTTGATAAAGCAGCTGGAGTTCAGCAGCTCTGCTGCCGGGAAGTACTAGGATGGCATGATGCGGGGGAGGCAGCTGCCCTGACATGGTGTCAAGTGGTCTGAAGTTGAGGGGAAACTGACTTTTTTCTAAAGCAGGGATGGCACAAGGAAAGATGGTTTAGACTAGATCAAAAAGGGGGTTTTGGATCCAGCACACCTGGGCTTCATTCCTGTTTCTATTTATTACTAATTGTGTCATGGCCAAGCTGTTTAACTTCTCTGAGCCTTGGTATTTCTTATCAAATAAGTGTAATTTGAGGAACAAAGGGATGATATATGTGACGCAATCAGTACAGTGTCTGGCACAGGCACTTCATAAGTGCTGGGGTGTGTGATGTAGGTTAGTACACTGGAAACTCAGCGGGTATTTGTCAAACAAATGAGCTGACTTGCCATACAGATCAAGTTTGATAATTTCTGAATGGTAACTACCAGGGATCGCCACCTTTTTCTGGTGTCTAAAACTTGTAAGGGACGCTACCAGGATGCAGACATCTATTTTAAATCCTCCATTTTTGAATGCTCTGAGTTTGATAAGCTGGAGCACACACAGATCCTGGTGACTAATGATGTGTTTGCACACGCAAAGGGAAGTCAGGGAGGGAAGCGGTCTTATGCCTGCCTCAAGCCAAGAAACACTTTCACTTGCATTATTTAGATACCTTCCTCTATTCTCAGGTTGGATTAGGCAATGGTGTCACTCTTAAAGACTATTTAATGTGGTTAAATGCTTTTTTTTTTTTTCAAATTGCTATCGTGTTTGTGTTTCTCCCAGACCCATCATGCCTTGGCACTTGGCACTTATATAGAGTATAATTCTTTTTTTTTTAATGCTACCTCGCCTACCCCTAGAATATAATTCTTATATTATTCCTCCTTTAAACCAAATCAATGCTATCTAAAGTCACTCCAACCTACACACCTATATATACACCCGCTACACATGCATTCCCAATCTGGTACCTACTAGCCACAAGTGGTTATTTAAATCCATTAAAATAAAATTTAAAATTCAATTGCTTATTCATACTAGCTTCATTTAAAGTGGCCATGGGAGGCTAGTGGCTTCCACATTTGAAATAATATAGATACAGAATACACCAAAACAGAGGACTTATTGGATGTCATGGTTCTAGAAGCTAAGCAGTGACTAGGAATCATTGGGCGGAGAGGGCAGAGTCCATGACAGTGTTTTGTAAATATCAACCACATTTTTCTCAGACCTGTGTTTTCTTTTCCATTGATTTTAGCAGGAGAGTAATACACTCAGAAGAAGGAGGAAACTGGAAAAAGCAACAAAACAACTGGTTAAACAAGAAGAATTGAAAAGACTTTATAAAGCTCAGGTCAGAAAGCAAGGGATGAGTGTGAGTTGGCTGGGTCCCGGGAATCTAAAAGTTCTTTGGAAGTCTGTATGGTGTTGGGAAGGTGGGCTCAGGGAAAGTCAGTCTCTCTTCTCTGGCTAATCAGAATGTACCTCTTCTAAAGGCCTCGCTTATCCCTGCTGGGATGCCAGGGCCTGGAGAGCCTAAATGTGGAGCTGGTCCACCCCCAGCCTCCTGTCCATCCAGAAACATGCATCCTGCAACGCAAACCTGGAATAACAGCCAACGCTTGGCCTTGGGGACTCTCCAGGCCCCAGATGGCCACAGAGCAGGGGTCCCAGTATTGCTCTCTGTAAAAATACAACCTGCTCCCAAATTCTTAACAGTGTCTTGCTAAAACAGCAACTACTAGCAGCAGTCTTCTTCCAAGATGAGCTGAAAACTTAAGTATCCAGTATTCTGATACAGATTTCCTGGGATAATTTGACCCAAGTTGATCTGCCCACCTTTGCCACAGACAGGCAAAATAAAGCAGAAAGGCAAGGCATTCTCCCTTTCCTGTGGGCCACAGATCCAACCTTAAAGGATAGTAGGGTTTTAGGACAAAAGAACTTAGAATGACCACTCATATTCCTCCAGTGTGCTCTGCTATCCCTCTCTCCAGTTGTTCCTTTCATCTGTCCGTGCAAGTCAGGCATGGACTGGAAGTTAAATGAGGCCCTAATTCCATAAGACTGATATTTTTATAAGAAGAGAAAAGAGAAGAGAGAGCCATCTTCCTCTCTGTGTACACACAAAAATTAGACCAGGTGTGGATACAGCAAGACTTCCTTCTAGCTCATGCCTGCTTCACCCACCACAGTGACTGGCTTGAGAGCCACCCCCAGTCACCTAGTAGACAGGGAGAATTCCCAGAAACTTCCCTCTGTCCACTTTCAACTTCTGAAACAGGTTTCCATGGCACATTTTAACTTTTTCTTGTACGAGCAAGATAAGTCCTCATGATATATTAATAGATTGGCTAACTCAGCAATTTTCCCCTCCTATTTTCACGCCATGGTGGATGGTGGTTACAGAGGATTACAGTGGCTTGTTGAGTCCTCATCTTCTAACACCATGACAGCCCTTTCTAATGTTGGAAATTTTCATTCTCGGTTTCTAAAGAATGACAGTCAGAGAAAACAAATATGTTTTCTCACAGACTTGAAGGCTGGAAGTACAAAATCAAGGTGCCCTTAAGGGTAGGTTTCTAATGAGGCCTCACGTTCTAACTTATATACACAGCTGCTTTCTTGCTGTGTCCTCGCTTGGCCTATTTTTTGTGTACAAGAAAGAAAGAGAAATGGCTCTGGTGTCGTTTTCTCTTCTTATAAGGACATCAGTCTTATGGGATTAGGACTTCATTTAACCTTAATTACTTATTTAAAGACCCTCTCTAAATATAGTCACTTTGGGGCTTAGGGCTTCAACATAGGAGGGGTATGTGTGTACACACACTTTAGCCCACAATGACTGCCAGCCAGAATTGCACAGTAATCGGTACTATAGTCAGTTTCTCTTCCTTCAGCAATTCTATATGATGCCAACAAGAGATGGATTTATTTATTTATTTTTTTAAAGTGGGTCTTGGTTTTTTTTTTTTTTTTAAGATTTATTTATTTATTTATACAAGCACTGGGTACAGTCAGAAGCAAGGGAAGGTGAGAGAATTCACCAGAGCCAGAGCGGGGAGCAGAGCAGGCAGAAGGACCGAAGTACACTGCTGAGAGGAGCAGCGGGTGGCAGGAGAGGTCTGCGCGCCATGTGGGACCCTCCTCCGGTGGTCGGGGAGCAGCCGGGGATCGAACCAGCGCTGCAGAGGCTACGGGCAGCTTCTCAAGCAAGCGCTCAACCGCTGCGCCACCAAGGAGGCCCAACAAGAGATGGATTTATAATGATCATATTATCTTTAAAAGAGAGAGAAGAAGAGGGCATGAAGTTATAAGTCATTTTAGATAGAATTTCCATATTTCTCAGATTTTGTGTTTGAGACTTACACAATTTTAGCTGGGACAAGAACAGCCAGCCAGGTGACTGCTCAGACCCTGCACCTACTCAGGCCTTACTCCTTCCCCACCCCCCCCACCCCAATCTAGGGGAGACTTAGAAAGAGACTGAGTTAAGGAGGAAAAGGAGTGAAACAGCGCTGGCGTAAGGCAAAGGAAGAAGAACACATACGTTCTACCTGCCCAAGCAGCTGCTGGCCCTGGAATAGACCTGGTCAGCCAGGTGCAAAGTCTTCCAGGAGAGGTGACTTTCAGTAGCGTGGTGTTTGAAGGCAGAGAAAATTGGTGGGGGTGAGAAAACTGTATTTAGCAAAGGCTTCCCCCTACTTTTCCTCCTAATATACCCAAGAGAGAAGTTGCTAGTAGGAAAATGTGTAAATGCAAACCCACCCATAACCATGGCCATAATAGGTGGCTCTGGTGAGTCTAGGAAGGTGTGAAGTTGTCTCTAAATGAATTAAGGCCTACGTGTCTTGTCTTAATAACCTCTTTGCAACAAATGCCTGTGGGCTTTTAGTTCATGGTCTGATGAAAGAATAGGCACCGTTCGTAGCTGAGATGAAGAGCAGCACACCCCAAGAAAGGAACACCCAGCCCCAGAACTGGCCCAGGCCCCCATGTGAAATCAACTCTTGGGAGGTATCAGCTGGCTCTTCCTGGGGAAATGGAATGTGAGCATGCTTAGTATTTTCCCAGGAGCCCCTGACTTAGTCTGAGAGGTGGCTGCAGCTCCAGTCCCTGTGCCACGACCACAGTCAGAGGCTGGGCTGTGGGGAATCCAGGGGTGCTCTGCCTTCCTTGCCCACAGCCTGTGCTGAGAGCATGCCTGTGTGGCTGGTCTGGCCAAAGAGCTTGTGCTGAGGTCTACTTGGGGGCAGATTGAGCTCACACACACAGTCCTTGCCTTAGGTTTTCGTACTCTAGAAGGGAGATGCCAAGGTCTAGTTGTTTGGGAATTCAGAGGTTCCTCACCCTGTCAACTAAGAGGTAACACCACAAGGGCATTTCCTCTTAGAAAGTTAGTGGCAGAATCAGCCCCACACATGACTCTTGAGAGTCCCCATATGATATGCGATCCTGGTGTTGCAGGCCATCCAGAGGCAACTGGAGGAGGTGGAGGAGCGGCAGAGGGCTTCCGAGATCCAGGGCGTGAGGCTGGAGAAAGCGCTGAGAGGAGAAGCAGGTAAGCATACTGCAGAGAGGATGCAGTGGGCTTGGACCTGCATCTGTGGTCTGATAATAGTGCTGGCTGGTCAAACCATCAGGGGGAAACAGAGACATCTGGTTCCCTGCTGTGGCTCTATCAGCATGGACCTGTGGTGCGAACCCACAGCAGCCTCGCACTTTCAAAATCTACTGGATGGTTCCATTAGAAATTCTGAGGGGTATTGGCCCTTCCAGTGACCGTGTAGCTGAGTTTCTGGTTTGTCCAGCTTTCTTCTACTGGTGGGTGTTCTTTGAAATTCAAGTATTAGGATGAATTCATAAGAAATATTTAGGCATTCAAGGCTATAATACAATGACTCAAAGCCACAGAGCCAAAATATTGGTTTCCTCCTTTATTTGCTATGTGACCTAGGGCCACGTACATGTTTTAAACCTTTATAAATGTTTGTTTTATCCTTAAATGAGATTAATGGTGGTTCCTATCTTATAGAACCTCTATAAAGAACAAGGAAGGAATTATATTTGAAGCTTAATTTTAACACACTGCCTGGTACAAGATAAAAAAAAATAAATGGGAACTATTCTTCCAGTAGCTTTAGATTCTTAGATCCAAACAGGGTTCATCTGGTGAAGGCCTGCCACATACTGGACATGACTTCACTGTGTCTGTAACAATAAGAGAACACAGCTTCTGCCTTTGAGAAGGTTGTGGTCCTTTTAGAGATATCGACATGTAAATGAATCAATCGTAACCCAGGTGAACACATGCTGCCATAGGGAGAAGCACTGGGTGGAATGGGAACAGGTCAGGAGGCCCTAACTGGTCTGGGAAGGAGGTGTGGCGAGGCTCATCACCTGGACAGGGCAAGTGATTAAAATAAGAACTGGAAGTTCTTAGAGGAGTGAAGTGGTAAGAGATTGTTCAGGCAGAGGGAACAGCAAAGGTCAAGTGTGAAACAGCAGAGGGAACACTTGCAAAGGTCAAGTATGAAAAGATGTGAAATACCTTGACAAATGAGGAGTCAAAGAGGGATCTTCAGGTGAGAGATGACCTAGAGAAATCAGCATTTGGAGACTGCCCATCAGTGGTGTGGCCAGGGAATTGGAGAGCTCCTTAGAGTTTGGGGGTGAGGGACAATTGCCTCTTTGGCTTTCTAATATGATGTATTTAGCCTTCTATATTTGGGGTAGAAAGAATGAAAAACCAAACTCTGAACACACATATCTCTGTGTATGATCATGTAATCACCACATTATTTATTAAACAACACATTGAAAAGCCAGGATATTTTAAGTCTTTTAAAATATCTATAATTCGAGAGTGATGCTACTAGCGGGGCCGACCCAAATTTAGGGAGGCCCAAACTCATACAGTCAAGCAGGTGAAATTGTGATGGCTTCTCCCAAGCCTGCCTCCATCCATCCCAGTGAGGGCCTACCTGGCGAGTGTGTCCCTGGGACAACATTGGAGTCTGACTTCACCCCTCTGTGCCTCAGTTTCCTGGTCTCTAAAGTGGCAGTGATCATACTTGGCTGTGTGATGAGAAAAATGTAAGTGAAAGCCCTAGCACAGTGCCTGCCACAGGGTAGATGGATAAATAAATATGTGACACTTTTCTTACTGAAATACTAAAATACTGTGCAATTCCTTGCAAAGATAACCCAAATGCTCTGCTCAGAAGCAGGCTTCGTACAAAAATGGAAACTGCTTCTTGCTCCCGGAAGTGAGTATGGATACCTACTTTTGCAGCTGCTGTTGGGATTTTCAACACAATGAGCTGCCCTTGTTTGATGTGTGGTCATCTTCCCAATCAAGAAGGCTTGTGCTTATCTTCACGAGTCTGCTGATTTCAGTGAGAGCATGAGAAATGAAAAGGATGAACCAGCAAAGCTGGGGCATGTTTCTGTTGGCTGGGAAGGCAATGTGGTATGGTGGGGTAAGTAGAGTTATAGGCATCAAAGAACCCTGTGTTCCAGTTCTAGCCCATGGCTTTTAGGCTGTGCTTCTGGAAAAATGACTTCACCTCAGTTCTTTCTCTGAAGATGGAGCAAATAGCCCCCATAGTACCAGAGTTTAGGGTAGTACTGACTCTTTGTACTCTGATAACGTGGGGATTGTCATTTTGAGAATTAAGGGTAATGGTAGGCAAAGTGTTTTCCAGAGCACCGACCATATTGTAGGCAATCAATAAAAGCCACCTGGTATTATTTTACAAAATATTATTAACTCTCCACACATATGCTTATAAAGAATTGATACTATTTATTACTGCTTGAAATTTAAATGATAGAAATCAAATTTTGAAAGCTTCGAAAAATCAACCTCACTCCGAAATGTAAAGAAAGGCTATTTTGAATTAGCTAAAGAAACTCAGCCAGCTTGTGGTGTTTGCAAAGGTGTGCTAACCCAGCTGAAGATGAATCCCATTTATCCCCTTTATGTCCTCGGTAATTTAATTCCCCTGTGAGGTTTATGGGCCTTGTTTTCCTTGACTGTCCTTGGGGAAGTGACAGATGCACATCAACAAGAGGTTAGAGACGAGAAGAGTCAAGTCATGGAGAGTGGCCCCAAAGGAAACCAAATGGAAGCTCTGTAAACCAGGCATCAAAATTAATACACTCTAACTTGTAATAACATTTGTGCAATAATAATATTCCTATGTGGCTGAATATCCTATTCAGCCCCTTTAAGAGATTGCCCTGGTGCTTAATGAATGACCAATGCTTATTAGGTTAAGTTGTATTTGAGCTGGCCTGAGCTGCTCTGGTTCAAGTGATTTAATGGGAATTATTTAATAGGTATTATTAAGATAATTAGAAAATGATCACAGTTAGGCAATAATATTGAGCTATAAAGGTTGTGAATAACCAAATTTAGAGACAGGCCTGAAAACATGAGTAGTCTGCGACAGTTATGCAAGTCTCCTCTAATAATTATGTGAGCCAGTCTGAAAGGGTCTTTTGTTCCTAGGAGTTATTCATTAGGCGGGCATTGAATTAGAGGAACATGCGGGGGTGCAGGACAGAGGGCAGTGATGGCTGATGAGCAAAATGAGGCTTTGATGAGCTCCTAATTGTCGTGACAACAATTCCTGCTTTCTTTTTCCCCAACAGTCAGAAATAAGCTCCCCACCTCCACGAAGGGTTTTTCCCCATTTTGTCAAAGAAAAGGGAAACAAAGAAAAGCAAAACCCTAACAACCCACCCCAGATGACAAGTCATTATATTCTGTGTGTGTGTGATGTGTGTGTGTGCGCGCGTGCAGGCGTGTATGTAGGATGGATGGATGGACATCCTTGACAAAGGGAATGGATTCCTGGGGTGATCTTCGCTGCCCAGAGTAAAGGACCAGGCTTTGCAGTGACCTGATTACCCCAGGCCTCACCCTCTGTGAGGTCAAGCCAAGCTTTGTCAGCCACTTAGCTTCCTCCTCACAATTTTCTTCTGGTTGGTTGGCTGGTCAGTGTGGTGGTTGGTGTTATGTGTTGGGGCTATGGAATTCCCTGATTTGGCCAGAGACCACAGTTCAAATTAAGATGATGTGGTAACAGAATCTCGGCTTTCTTTCAATACCTAAGGAAAGGTGAAATCTGATGAAAACTGAGGAGCAACTTCAAATAGAGAAAGCCTTTGTCTCCAGGGAAGGTGTGTGTGACTTAGTCTTCCCATATAGCCTTACAAACTTTGGGGAAGGTTTGCTAATTGGATGTCTTCATTGAGTTCCCCGCTCCCTACTCTTTTTTTTTTTTTTTTCTAAGCAACTCCTTGCATTCTCCTACACTAAGATAGAAGGGTTTACAATTACAAAGGTCAGGTACTTGAGGGGGCCAGCAGATGGCAGCATATGCATACTGTATGACAAGAGAATGCACAAAGCCTAGCCAGGAAGAGGGAAGTAGTTTGGCTTCTACTCTGTGGTTTTCATCTGGAGTGCTGCTGAGAAACAGGAGGAATAATAATTTCCTGCATAACATGACAATGTGGTGTCCTGAAAAAATACAGTGATTAGAGTCTGACATTTCTGAGTCTGAATCCCCATGCCATTCATAGAGAATGGCCAGGAATAAAAAGTCTCCAAAATTGCTGGCTAAAACAAGTAATGAGCTTGAGTTGATTTGCCACCATTCTGTACTCCAACTGGAGTCAGTCGTACCTGAGTTTGAATTCCAATGTGATGATTATACAATTACCTCCCTGCCAAAAATTTCTTATCTGTAAAGTGGTAGTAATAGTACCAACCTCATAGAGAGGGTATGAAGAAAAGACTTAAATAGTATTAGTAAAGCACTTTTTAAAAAGACTGGCATATAATAGGTGTTCCAAAAATTAAATACTTCTCCTTTTTTATATTGTTATTTTTATAAAACACAGCTAGATGGTCAGTAATTTCTCAGGTTGTATTATTTAGTTGGTCATTCATTCACATTAATTTATAACTATACTCCTTGCAACAGAGTTAAGCTAGTTTCTATAAATATGTATAATATATGAATTTCCCCAGTCTAGTTCATATGAGGAGCTCAATGTAGACTCATACTGTTACCAAAAACAAACCAGGGGAAAAAAAGCACAGTAAAACAGTTCAAAATGAGAATAAAACTCTGTGGTTCTGAAGTATGCCTCTCTGACAGCCTTCCACAATTTGGGAATAGATTTCATGGAATGAATGTTCTTTAGGTAATCTTCCATAATTATTTGTTCCCTGCATGTACTGAAAGGCAATGAGTTGAAGACTATTCCTGCTTGTCAGCCACAACAGGGATTAGGTGCTGTGGCCTTAGGGTCAGCAGAGCAGGGGAACAATTGAGAAGCTTCTGACCCTATGAGAGCCTGATTATTTGAATACAGGGTATCCATAAAACTGAAAGCATAAAAAATATTATTTTGTCACATAATATAATGGAATATTGTCCGGAAGAATTCCAATCTCACAGAGGATGGCCAGGGGTAACAAGACTTCAAAATTGATGGATAAGCTTGAGTTAGCTTGCTATCACTCTATAGGTGCTAAAAGTA